TCAGTCTTACATCGGGGAAACTAAACAGCCACTGGCCAAAAGGATGGCCCAGCACAGAAGATCAACATCATCAGGCCAGGACTCTGAGGTCTACACTCATCTCCAGGTCAGAGGTCACTCTTTCAGGGATGAAGATGTTCACATCCTGGACAGAGAGGAACGATGGTTTGAGAGAGGAGTAAAGGAGGCCATCTTTGTGAAAAGAAACCGTCCATCATTAAACAGGGGTGGAGCCTCCGGGTTCAATTGTCCCCCTCTTACAATGCTGTGATTGCTAGTATCACTCAGCCCTCTGTGAACAGTAAACAGCCATCAGGTGCTAATGATCCATTGTTAGGCTGATGGTCCTTCTTGAGCATGTGATCAGCTGGTTCTGGTTGTCAGCAGCAAACTGGTTGATCCACTCTGAGAAGGTGCTATTTAAGAGACTGAGCTGAAAACAACACCTCAGACTGAGGAAGTCTCTCGGATGAAAGATGAAACGTTTCTACATTTTTTTTTTTTACTTTTTTTTTTTTTTTTTTTTTTGAATGTCCAGAGGACCAGATTGAACTTTTTTGGATTGTCTACTGTTGTTGTTTTTGTTGTCTACTGTTGTTGTTTTTGTTGTCTACTGTTGTTGTTTTTGTTGTCTACTGTTGTTGTTTTTGTTGTCTACTGTTGTCATCACTCTTTGTTAAAATCAGGTCTCTGTTGTGTGTGAGTCCCTGACACTTAGGTCGTTTTCACACCAGATAGTCCGGTAGACTCGGTTCGGTTCGGGACCAATATTCATGACCTTTTGTTACATGTGAGCTGGTGTGTTTGCATTCACACTGCACTGTGCAGTCGAGTCAACCTGTTGAACCAACCTGTTCCCCCGCTCGCCTGTGGGGGCGCTGCACCAAGAACTACTGAAAGAAATGACACAAAAACCCCTGAAGACACTTCTTCTTCTTCTGGAAATAAAAATAAAAACAAAGTGGCATCAAGTTTTATCAGTTTTAGGAGTTATATTTTGTCATTTTTCAACAATGGACTCAGCATGAGCAGAAGATGAGACAGAAGACCATGGAGAATATTGTTCTTCACACAAGGCAGCTGACGGCTCCATATGAGGTCAGAAAAATGTTTGTTTGTTTGTCCTGCGGAGCGGGGCTCGGTCTGTTTACATTCACACTGTACTTGAACCGCGCTGGAGTTCTCTTCTACCGGACCGAGACCTAGGTTTTAGCCCGGGCCAGAGTTCACCTTTTTGTTCCGTGACAGAGTTCGATGGTGTGTTCACACCTCCCTAAACGAACCGGACTTTCTAGGAAAACGAGCTAGAGTTCGATTAAAGCGACTAAACAGGGCTGGTGTGAATGAACCCATAGTGGGACTAACCAGTAGTATTAAAGGTTGATGAATTAGTGATGTGAATGGTATAGCACATTAATCAACTGACAAAACATGCATGTTGCAAAGTCATGGTGTATTTACTCTGAAATATCCACACCCTTTTGTCTGTTGCAGTATGTCACCGTCCCACTGCCTTCTCCATGAAGACTCTATGGTGGAACTTCAGGCTCTCAGCTACAGTCAGCAACAGCAGAGCCACAGGTGGGTGCTGCAGGATTATTTGGGAATGCCAGATATGAATAGTTTTCTGATTAAACACCAAATGTAAATTTAAAAACTGTACATTTGTGATATTTTTCAGGCTGTTCTACAGATGTTCTGTTGGGAAGAACGCAGGTCAGAGATGGTGTGGAAAGGTGCCGTGGACTGCAGTAAGATTTTGCACACCTCACCAGACACCTGTATTTTGTCAGGGACAAAATGGGGGGTTAAATTAGCCATTAAAACTATACAAAGAGGTCATTCAAAACTTTTGCCCAAAGTTCTTTGAAGGAATATCATCTGCTATCTTTCATGCCAAAATGTTAGACTAAAGGCTCAGAGTTCTTGAAATGTAAGACCTGTGTTCTCACTCACATGGTTGTGAGATGGGTGGGGGTTTGTTGCACATGGACATTTTAAACTCAAAAGAATAACTGCATCAGAGAACTTGTGCTAAGCTCTTCCACTGCAGAACACATCACACACTACTGGAAACAACAGCAGCACAATTGTCAGAGATGATGCTTATTTTCAGTTGATGATGGAAGAGTTGTTAACTGGGGAGAAGTTTGTCATTAAAGCCCCTTTTCCATAGCTCCTCTTCAGCACGTTTCGGCTCGGTACGCTTCCAAGGCTTTTTCCACTAGCAATTTGTCATGGAACCGGATCATTTTTCCGGACCCATTTCTCTGGGGTTCCATCTGTGCCAAGCCGGCACCAAAACATGATGTCAGAACACTGTCGGTCACTGAATGGTCAGGGGGCGGAGTCACTGGTTCTTTCAGAAACTTTTCAAAACAACCGATCCTCCGTTTGCAATTACTGAAACTTGGAACAGCGGCTGGACCTATTTTTAAAACTATATTTTGATCAAAGAGCTTCACTTTGCCTTATCCACAGGGACTGGTTGCCATGACCATAAAGGAAGCTAACTAGGGCCCTATTTACACGGACACGATGGGGGAAACGTAGGTTTTTTCGTACGTTAATTAGAGGAAAAGATTTGCGTTGACACGGACAAATTTAGTGTTTACATGTATCCGGAGGAATGGAGACAAGTCTTCTGGTGTCAGGTATACAGGACACCAGGGGTTGAGCAACGGCAGTCGAGGAGGAAAGTTGGCTTTGGATCAGCAGCTGAGCTGATCAGATGGAATGAGTGGTTGTGGAGAGTTGACGAGACTCTGAGAAACAACAGCCATCTGATGGAAGACGTGTCCAGCTGAGAGATGGTGGACATCCTGAAACTTCTCAAAACACCCAGGAGCAAAAGGCATGCGCCGAACGGACCGCAGCCCTGAGAAACGACATCCTTCTTGGGACAGCGGGCCACCGCCTACTTCCTTCATGCAGCCGCTGTGGTAATGAGTAAAGGACTTCTTCCTTCTGATGAGAGGACCACGAAACAGTGCCGACTGTTTAGATCATTTAATTCATGAAACTGAGATAAACCTTCATACATTTTAATGTTAAGAACCTTAGTCCAAATTGAATGTAAAACTCCTTCTCAAAGTCTCAGATTTACGTCCTTTACTTTAGAAAATAATACTATTGGTTGTTCGTTCATACTCCATGTCGTAAATCAAGCTGAACAGTACAGAACTGTATTTAAATTACGGATTCTTTCTTGTTTTTCTTCGAGGGGGAGGAATTAAGTTCGCTAGAAGAACTCATGTATTTATGTGTTTGAGGCGAGGCCGGTCCAGGTTACGTTAGTAAAAATACCTGTTAAAAGGTGCCTGGACCAGAAGCCCTCTCCCCTACCAAGAGACAAAACCACACATCTAATCTGAACAGTAAAAGTACACACTGTGAGTGCTAATACATCAAATGATTATAACATTTTAAATATAGATGTTTTGTAGAATCTGCTTCATCAGAGATTTAATGG